AATAATGGTAGCAGCAATACCAACAATAGTATTTGTCCCCTGGGTTCCTAGAGGAACATACAGCTTCAGTAGCATGCCTCCACTGCACTCTCTTCTCTGCAGTCTTTTCAACCTAGCTCTACGACTGACCAGAAGCTTTCATTTCTTCTTCACATGATCTCCCCATGTCACCCTCGCCTCGAACGCCCAACTCGTCCTTTCCCATTTGGATTTCACTCGAGATCCTGGCCTGGTGCTTGGTGTCCTCGAATAGTCTTCTCAGTGTATGCCCAATCCATCTCCACTTTCTTCTGTATATTTGTTGGACAATGAACAATAATAGTAACAGTAATAATAATAATGTTAAAGACTACGTAAGATTACATAATTATTATTAGACTCTAAGTAAACACACACATACACATACACATTCATACCGCAATAAATGTTTATAAAAATGAATCATAATCTGTGGATTTTGTCTCCTCATGTCGTGGCAGTACTGTCAATATTGATCTGACTACACAATTAACACACTAGACTGATAACAGATTCACCATTCCATTCGATTTGATCTCCATTCAACCATTATAACACTGACTGTTTCACCAGAAAAAAATTGTACATCATACCTTATTTCGGCTATTGTATTTCACTTATTCTCATGGATTTATAACTGTTGAGCCTGAAGAAGTTATTGAAAACAATTATTCGTTTAAATTATTCTTCTTCTGAATAATCTATGCGGATCTTTAAATAATAAAGGTGATAACAATAGTAATAATGGTGGGTCGTAGCTAGCACTGAAGTCCAGGGTGCGCATTCCGTCCTATCTGAGACTCGTCAACTGGATGTACCTGCTTGCCAGTCAGTGTTGTTCCCACCGGGATTTGGACTCTGGGGCGATCGCTTCAAACGCCAGCACGTCATCCACCACACCACCGAGCCACTTCTTGTGCGACGGGTATAGTTTTTAGTATAATTGTTTCTATTTGATACCGTCGTTGATCGGACCGAATTGATCGATCTCTATTGGCATATGGGCTCCTGTGCAGATGCCTCGATATTGCCCGCCTTCTAATTGTAATAGTGATGGATGGCGACTAGCACTGGAATTCAGGATACGCATTTCGTCCTAGCAACGACGGTATCATATAAAAACAATTATACTAAAACTATACCCGTAGCGCGAAAAGTGGCTATCGTGGCTCGGTGCTGTAGTGGATAACACGCTGGCGTTTGAAGCGATCGCTCGAGAGTTCAAATCCCGGTGGGAACAACATCACTGACTGGGAAGCAGGTACACCCAGTTGACGAGTCCCAAATAGAACGAAATGCGCATCCTGGATTCCAGTGCTAGCCACCATCCATCACTATTACAATTAGAAGGCGGGCAATATCGAGGCATCCGCACAGGAGCCCATATGCCAATAGAGACCGATCAATTCAGTCCCATCCACGACTATATCATATGGAAACAGTTATACTAAAACGATAGTAATATTTATAATATCATTTGACTATCTCAGATAGCCGTAGTTTGACAGAATAGTATTTATACTGGGTGATGACTGAAGGTGAAATGAAAAATTTGGGCCGTGGCCGGATTCGAACCAGTGACCATCGGGTTTCCGGCTCCTCAAACACTATTTTCAGAAGAAATAATTATTGCATCTAAATAGTATTAATAATAACGGTGTTAAAGACACTAATGTCAAATAACTAGTTGATGTTACATTAGCGTCTGGTCTGGACTTGGGGATCAGTCAGTACAAACTCTTCAATTCGAGATAGGTATCCTATGAATGGTACTATGATGTATTTTTGAGCATTTATATAACCATTTCCATCCGGCATAACGCTTTTTCTTTATTTTGTTCTTATGATGAAATATATTTAGTGGCACCCCCAAAGAATAAGCAGACTAACTTTTTGATCTGTGAAAAACATAATTTACTAAAGACAAAGTATAATTTCATCCCACATATAAGGAGTAACCCTCTAAGATGATCCATTGAATCGTGATATTAATTTGACTGACAAAAATCTGTTGGCCAACGAATTTTACTACCACCAACACTAAAAAATTAGTCTCAATTGTTATCCATTTACGAAAATGAATTCGAAGGTTTATGGGTAGTTATTGACTTTTAGTTGATACTCATCATTAACACCACTCGGTGAACTAATGGAAACCTGTTTCGTCCTAGTGTGCGGCTCTTCAGTAGTGCGCACCTATGATTCTGCCGGGAACGGAGCTTAGAACTGTCATTTTCTTACATTCTGTCAATTCGCTCATAAAGCACGACTATCATACAATGCCATTGGTGAGTGCTTGTCCTCACGTACAACTTGATTTGTCCCACTTGTCATGACTTCTGATTAGAACTTTAGATAATCTCATCTCGAAAATCATGTCTGTCAATGATGAATACTAACTTGAAATCAGTCAGTCCTCATTAAACTACAAATTGAACTACTGTACAGTGTTATTTAGTGATTCGCTATGAGATGAGACTTCGTGAAATTCTAATGAGAAGTCACGACCGGTGGGCTAACTAAGTCAAATGAGAGGGCAGATACTCAAAGATGGCACTGGATGAAGGTTGTGTTATATGGCAGACTGACAGAAGTAGAAAAATTGGACCAACAAATTCGACCAAGTGGGTGAACAGTGACGTGTTTTCCCCGGGAAACCCGAATATCCTGGTTCGACCCTGGTGGGGTCATGGGTGTATGCTTCTTAAGAGTTTCGTACGAGGATGACATAGCTGTTTAGTGCTCCCAGACTTTTGATAACTCATCAACTGACGTCAGTTAGTGATGAATGCTACTTTGAATTCGAATGGGTCTCTCATACTGTTGTTTACTACTCGTCTGCATAGACAACTCAAAATTCGAATCAGCCACTTTTCAACGACTCCTTAGTATGAATAATTTAACATCAAAGACCCTATGAGAAGAAATTCCAGTTGAATTGTTCTTAAATCTAGTGGCTTTCAAAGTGCATTTCCCTTCTTGTACTACCTACTCAGAAATCCCGTAGTAACATTGACGTGTATCCCTATGAAAACTGAGAATATGAAAGATAATCTGTCTGGTATCCGCCGTCATCAAACTTCCACGAAATCTACCTAAGATTCTTCTTCATGTTTGTGAAATTTCTCTTTCTATTATTACTAAATACAAGCATATATGACTGGATATTGGGTGAGGGATTGAAGGTGAAAATGAAAATCTGGGTCACGGTATGATTCCAATCATCAACTTCTGGATTACCTACCCGGTGTTCTGTCAACTGAGCTACGAGACTCATCTATTGATCAGACCTTAATTTTTCCTCAGTCACAGTCAATATAATGACATCAAAAGTTACTCGTCAAGAATTCATCTAGGAGTCGAGAGAAATTCTTAGTGGTTGAAATCTGGTGAGCAGTCGACTTTTGTAGCTCAGTTAGTGATGTTCCAGGTCAATAACCCGGAGGTCACTGACTCGAATCCTTCTATTATCAACCACTAACAACAACAACAATACAAGTCTGCCAAACCACGGCTGTCAGATAGTCAGACTGATAACATATGATTTGGAAACTTTTCTGGCCTAATATTACTAAATTTAGTAGTGTGATACTATTAGACGGGAAAGATAGATAGATCTACCTACCTGTAGTTATGACAATATGTTTACCTTTAAACCATTTATGTGTATGAACAAGGAGATTTTCGCTTGCCTTAGAGAATTTTTTTTTGTTTTGTTATATGAATAAATGTGTAAAACATCCTGTCATACTACGCATATATATAGTTCTCTCTAAATTATCTTATCCAATGGATTAGTATTATCCAAACAGTTATTCTACCTGTGAACTGTAAAGTATAAGAGATATATTGCTTTGGAGAGAAGAGCAACGAATGGGCAATAAGTTTCTCGAATCTCCTTAGCATGATGATGGTGTGTGTGTGTGTGTGTGTGTGTGTGTGTGGACAACGCTTCAGTTACCCTCTCTCCTCCTAATGAAAATATAATTTTGTCTTGATAATCTATAAGCTAAAGCAGTTCATGTTTATAGATAAGTGTGTATGTATGTGTGAATGTTTATCAAAAAAGAACCAACAACCTTTACATCAAATTTGCTTGTTGTCCTTTTTAGGGACACTTTATAAAACAAGCATATTACACGTGTCCAGGCTTGCTTGTAAGTCAATGAATCTTAAATAGATTTTCTTCCAAAAAAAAATTAGTTACACTTTGAATACAACATGTGTATATTAGGTCAGTTGACCAAAAATAAATGATACAAAGAGGAAGCCAATAAAATCCAGGCTTTAACAGTTAATAATCAACGAATTAAGTAGATAATCTATACGACTTCAGTAGTGTGGTTATGCGTCTATCGTTAGCATACATTTAACAGGTATGTGTATGTGTATACATGTATGTGTGTGTGTTTGTGTTGGTTTATGATGTTAAGATACAACTGTATATAGGTCAATTGGTTAAAAATGGGAGATTCAGGCACCTGTCGACATTCGTTGAAACTAATTCGATTAGTTTGTAAACTGAGCCATTTTAACACATATACTATCGCACACAGACACACAGGTATACACATGTATACAGATGTACATATTACTGCTATACTACATACATCAATTTAAAAGTTATTTAACATTTTGTTAGTCTACTAATGAAAAGTAAACGAACCCTGGATTCGTACTCAACAACCTGTAGGCATGACAAGCGTTCAAAACGAAAGAGACTACACATACATTCTTTGGATTGGTTCCTCAATATCTCGATATTTCTGATGCAATGATGCCCACAAATAACTAATTCAAGTGTATATATATATATATATATATATATATATATATATATATATATATATATATATATATATGCATATATATCTATTACATATCCAAAGAAATATATATAGAAGAAGTGACGATTATCAAACCGAAGAAAATAACGCATTAAATAATGATTATGATTATTTAATTTTCATTGTGTTTGAACAATGGTTTTTCGAATTGAAGGTGAGTTTAAATTATAACAGCGAGCCATGCTATTATTATTATTATCATTATTGTGCTTACATTTTGTACATGAGATAATGAATTAGACAAATAACATAAAAACTATTCCCACTGTAAAATAAGTGACTACTGGGACTTGATGTCCTAGTGGATAACATTAGGGTATTTGAAACCATTGATCTCCGGGTTTGAGTCCTTGTGGGTACAACATCGCTCAGTGGGAAGCAGGTACAACGAGTCCAAAATACGATGAAATGCGCCTTCTGGATTCTAGTGCTAGCCACTATCCATCATTACTGCAGTGAAGTATCCTTGCCTCAATAACTGGAGTGAATGTTTGATTACTATAGTCAAGATATGATTCTGATGTCAGTCCGTCTTAACCACTACCAGTCCATTCCTACAAGCTTCCAAACTGAATCTCTGTCTAGTGTTTATTGGTGACTTCAGAATCCATGACTTAAGATATGAGGACAAATATTCATCGATAGCAATGGATGATGGTTACACTATACCTCGAATTGACAGAAATAAGAAAATGTAGACCATTGCTTCCCAACCTAGCGGCTGGATGGTTAACACGTTCGACGTAAAACCTGAGTTCGATCTTTAATTGGGTGGAGGGTGCATCAATAATAAAAGAATACCTTAGAAGCAAATTATTTTACAAATATTTGTAGGTTGAACAATTAAAATTGATAAACAGCTGAAAGTTGAACGAATAATTGTAAACCCTTTATGTCTATCACCACTGTTCACTAGTCAGATTCCTTGTGGGGTCATGGGTGCACACTTCTGAGGAGTCTCATACTAGGACGAACCAGCTGTCCAGTACTCCCAGGTTTCCAATGTTCCTTCAACTAATGTCAGTCCACAATGAATGCCAACATGAAATCATGATGATTTAAAAAACCGATCAGCTATTTCTCTTGTTTGCTATCAACTTCATCAATGCTGTACCCGGACTGATACATCTCTGAAAGCTGAATTTTTCAAACCTCCTGAATGTTGGCCAGTTACTTGAGGGGATCGGTAAAAAGGAGAATAAAGTCAATGGAGAGAAACCGCTTATCTTCACTAGTGGTATACAACTACTCATATTGGTTAGTTATTTCATTCTCGTAATCTTTAGGTTATTTGTTGAGTTAAGCAGATCACATTGTGTTATCTAATTAATTTGGATTCCACAGTGGAAATTGTCACCACGGATTTCAAACAACTGAAAGGCTGATTGAGCATAAAATTCTTTAATCCACTCACTAATCAACCATTCGCACCTTTTAATATTAGTCATAACGTCTGAATAGTCTGAGGTTAAATTTTGAGGGAGTTGTGGAGATTTGGAAATATTTCAAGTTGTTATTCATCGAAGACTGACCCAGTGGCTCAATGGTAACGCGCTGGTCGCGGAACCTGAAGGTCGCGGGCTCGATCCCTGCTGGTGGGGTCGTGGGTGCGCACTGCTGAGGAGTCCCATACTAGGACGAAACAGCTGTCCAGTGCTCCCAGGTTTCCTTTGTTCCTCCAACTGATGTCAGTCTTCGATGAATAACAGTCTGAGGTTAATTTCAAACAGAAATGTTAGTCGCTCAGTAATTTCATTAAAAGTCTCCCAACAATCTGTCTTGATTGGTTGTAGCAGTTATCTGTGTTCTAGGAAAAGATGTTCGGACTAACAAACGTTCTCCACAATTTTCTCTCGCACCAGTCAATAACTGATCACAGTTTTCTGGTTTAGTATAGCTTTCATAGTGTTGATAATGTAGAGCTGACTTCTTTTGTATGTTGACTCTACTCTCATTCTCCTTCTTACTTCTAATTTTATTTGGCTTTATTAACATTTTCTGTATTTTTATCTAAGTCATTCGATGAGTTCAGATTGTTCGAAATGTCTAGTGTCCATATAGCACACGTTTCAAACATTATACTGTTTAAATCAACCAAGTCAACTAACCTTTTCAAGTTATGTACTGTAATTTTCAGCATGGATAATTAATCATGGTTAGGTGAAACATCCAATCGACTTTCACAAGGATTTAATTACCTGTTTTTTAATGACTCAGATGGAGTTTTTTTGAATATAAATCTGCAGAATGCATTTACATCTATCTGATGAGGCATTTACATCCTACTGACAAGTAAAAAGTACACTACGAGAAAATTCTGCTGAAGACCTCTCATAATCTAACATCATTCATGGATTCATATTTGATTTACTAAACAGATAAGCACATATTCTCTCAGTGAGGTAATAGCGATAGTCCTGATGATAAGAAAAGGTTCTAGGATAGAACAGTTGAATAAATTGTTGAACAATTGTCATAGTTGTGGAGAGCTGGAACTAATAAACGGACATAGACCTCAGACTTGTTGGCACTGATAAACAAAGAGCATTTAAAACAGTGATGAAACGCGTATCTTACAGCTTAAAATTCAAACTGCTATTATTTTATACTGAGCTAGTTACTGATGATTGAGTTTGTGACTTAATTTGGGTTAAATTCATCTAGTCAAGGTTTCTGTTGTAATTCTGCTTTCTGACTGTTTCCTAAGACATTGGTACATCCATTATTGCTTTTTTAAGGGGACATTTCCTTCTTATTACAATGTACAATAAATTACTTATGGATGCTGCTAATTCCCCGTTGTTACACCGAATTGAAATGATCAATTCAGTATATGCTCGGTACTGTACCAGTTGAGCCTCCAGACTCAGCTACTTCTTAACCTTACTTCAAGCATAGTAGGTTTTACCCGACCGTCGAGTGATTGCGTGATAAGTAACTATTCCTTCATTTTAATCAAACTCTCTCCCCAGTGAGAACTCCTTGTTACAATCCAAATTATTATTATATTATTACTAGTCCCTTGGGTTCCTAGTGGAACATAGGGCTTCAGTAGCACGTCTCCAGTGACCTCTGTTCTCTGAGATCTTTTGAACCTCGTTCCACGACAGCCCACAACCTCTCATTTCCTCCTCGCATGATCTCCTCCATGTCACCCTCGCCTCGGACAACCAACTCGTCGCTTCCCATCTGGGTTCCATTCGAGGGACTGGCCTGACGCGTGATGTCCCCAGTCGGCCTTCTCAGTGCATGCCCAATCCATCTCCACTTCCTCCTGCATATTTGTTGCGTGATAGGTTCTTGGTTGGTTCATTCCCAGAGCTCCTTGTTGCTTATTCTTTCTGGCCATCTGATCTTCAGTAGCGAGTGTAAGCAGTTGTTGATGAATGTCTGTAGTTTATTGGAAATCCCTCTCGTAACCTAACCAATCCAAATTATTCCATATAAATTCTACCAGTTTCTCAAACTGTGATAATTTCAGATATCCCCACCAAAAAAAATCTCTGACGCTTATTAACACAAAGAATCCATTTTTTGTCTATCGTTTAGAAACGTCAAAAAATAGATCCTTTAGGATTCAATAGATACAATTCAGTGAAATAATCTAATCTATCAAATTCTATGTAATGACTGTGAGGTCGAGTACAAAGGTGAAACTAGCCGATCGAGGTCAGAAAGATTATCTAAACATCTGAACTTAACAAAATGTAGAATGGTAGGCCATAATAGCATTAGTAATCTAGAAAGAAAACCAGTCATTGCGATGCATTCATTAACACGCGACCACACAGAAAGGCGGATGGACAAAAAGAGATTGGTTACTGAATCTTTGTTCATGGAATCAGCTAACACCTAATACATGTAATAGAAATGACGTAACACCAGAGATATGAAGAATTTTACTGCCAATAAAAAAAAAGGAATATCAACTGAGAGTACTATGAAAACCAGATGTTGGAAGGAGCGTGAATACATTGATATGATTCAGGGCAATAATTTGTGCTCGAAACGTCGTCATCAAGTAAATACTACTCTCTCACTGCGTACTATATCAAATAAACAATATTAACATGCAACTATATTCTACCACATTGCCTAAGTTTTACATTTATATTAATGAACTTATCCCCATTACCACTGTTAACATTGTTATTTATCTCCATTCTCATCTGGTTTTCTTGTGATGTCATCTTTAGGGACTTACAGCCACCTACTCCTGAATGATCTAATCTACTCTTGACTAATTCAATTCTTAGTTCACCGTTAACATTATTATTATCTTTAAGGTAGTGTTCGTCACAGACTGGCATAAGTTGAAGGACCACTGAAAACTCTAAGGGATTGGACAGCTGTTTCATCCTAGTGTGATACTCTTCAGTAGTCTGCACCCACAACCTTCAGGTTTCATGATGAATGCATTAACTATTCAAGTACCATCTCATAGATTAGTGGCTCCTAGTTCTTTAGCTCTGTCATTTCGTGATACGAGGGGCGAACCATTCGGAACCGAAGTGTGCGCCAACTGAAAACCCTGGTGGAAAGTTGCACTATATCGCCAACTAACAGGAGTAGGAAACTACGGGACAGTGAACTTCGGCCCAATACTTTAGTGGTTAACGCACTTGCTGGAAAACCAGAAGTTCTTGAGTTGGACCCCTGGTGGGGATAGTGGGTGGGTTCTACTGAGGAGTCCTATAAGAGGACGAAACAGCTAGTCACTGCTGGTATGTTTTCAATGGTTCTCTAACTGCTGTCAGTTCGTAATGAATACTGCCATAAAATATGAATCACCATTAACCTAAAAATACATAATTATCATTTATACCGGCAGATGATTCAAGGTGAAATGAAAATTTGGACCGCTGTCGGATTCGAACCACCGACCACCAGGTTTCCAGCTCGATGCTCAAACAACTGAGCTACGAAGTCTAACTGCCTACCAGACTTATATTTCATTTCAACCACCAACGTTTTGCCCGATTACAATTTGAATTCGTGGCGTGTTATTACCACTTGATCGTTTTCACACTGGCTTCCTAGTCAGGACTTCTCATCTCAATTCAAATCTAACTGAACTAGGGAGGGGAGCATAATATCGATCATCATTTTGGCTGTCTGAGGTAGCCATAGTTTGGCGGGCTAGTACTTAAACTA